CACAATTGGACAGGTTTGGCTTGTGACGTCGCATCGGTGCGTTTCAACGACAAATGGGCAGCACCGTCGAGTAGAGATTTGTGTGGCTCAGTCTGTGCACCCACGTCGGACGAGGAGACTGGTACTGTGTCGATTGTTGGTCGACTGTGGAACGTTTCACGAACTGTGTGGCTTCCTAGTGATGTTTTGCGAACAGGTTCAGGTGTGGGTAACTCCAATGGGCGGTCTCGTGACGAGAGGTGCTTGGACTTGAACGGTGGTTAAGAGACAATCACATGCTCACTGGATTCCGTGACGTGTGTGGTTAACGGAGGTCGCCTGTGTGGCAGTGTCAGTCAGTTGGCGTGGTGGTGGCTGTTTGACAGGCGGTTCTGCGTAGGAGGTACTCTCTGACATCATATGATCAGGTTTCACTGTCTTCATTTCTGTGTTTTCCTCTGTGTTCATTTCTGTTTTTTTCTGCTTGCACTGGTGTATCTATCTCGCACGACGAATCCACGATGCACACTTTGGCTTGTTTTCGTTTTGACTTGTCTTCAATTCTTGTTTGGTATTGATTTTCTACTTTGCTTTCTTGTGTTTTGATAGGTTTTCTTTCCTCTCTCTTTTCTGTTGTTTCTGTTTTGTCCATTTTTGTTTGTGTCCAACTGTCATATTGGAATTTTGTTGTTTGTATGCTGGCTTCTATTTTCATTTTGTATATTTTGTTTTTTAGGCTTGATATTGCCTTCTTCTCTTCGTCGGTTTGTTCGTATTTTTGGAAATTTTCAACATATTTTCCTATTTTTTCCGAAGAACTTTCCTCTGATTTAACTATTCTATGTATTTGTCTTTGATCTACAAATGCGATATTTTGGGTTACTAATTTTGATTCGGTTTTCTGTCCAAACATTGCCCTATTTTTTTCCTCATTACTTGTTTCGATGTCGTACATTTCTGACATGGTTGTTTTAGATGTACTTTCTATAAGGTAGTGCTCCTGTTTGTCAAGAAGTCTTATTTGTTGCTGATACTGACAACCAAATTCACCTCTTAATCGTGGACTTTCTGGAACTTTTTCATGTGGTTTATGATCATCAGATGTAATTTTATATATTCCCACAGGGCTTTTCATTATTTCATAAGTTTGACAAGCTCTGTCACCTCTGCCTTTATATTTCAACTTTTCTACTTCTTGTTGAATGAGTTGATTGAATTGAGCTTCTGTTATCTCTTTTACGTGTGCGTACTGCCTAACTGTGTAGATGAAATCTTCAGATTGCTTTTCTGTTTGTGTTTGAACATTCTCTCCTTGTTCGGTAATTTGACGTGGTTGTTTTCGTAATTCTGTTATTGATTGTGAAGTTGTGGTTATAAGATCTCTAGTACAGCATTCAATGCTTCTGAAGGTTGGACGTGCTTCTATGCCTATATCTGTGATTTGAACTTTGCTAGGCCTTGTATGAATTATTCTAGCTGACTCTTCAATTTTAGTCAAACTCTTTGCTTCTTCAACATGCTGCTTTTCTATCCATGTTCTCCGTGTAAATTTTGTTTTTTTCAAAGGATCTTCTGATTGCGTAGATTTTGAAATTGTTGACGGTTTTAAATTTTCTTGATCAGTGGAATCAAGTATATTAGTTTCTTCAGTTGGCGCTACTTCGATATAGACAACTGAATAGCGCCCACCGTCTTTTGTATCGATGTATTTTCTACTCTTGTATGTTATTGGTTTATCTTTTGTATCCATTGGCCGTTCAAGTGTTAACAACATTTGTTTGTCAAGTGTAGTTACGAAATTTTTATTTTCTTTCAAGAAATCGTCCTCCGATCTTGTACGAAAATCTTGTTTTAAATGGTATTTTTGATAATCCTCAATTTCATCGTCGGTTGTACAAGAACTACCTGTACCAAAACTTTGAATTTCTTCACTCGTAGTACAACTACACACCATTTCTTCATCATATGTGAATATAGCTGGCAGTATAAACGTTTTATGTGGAAATTTTAAACTACTTGTAAAATGTGGTTGTTTAATTTGTTTCGAATGAACGATATATGATGTTTCTGTTTCATCAACCGATTCATAAGTACTTTCTGAATTTATATACTCCGAACCTGAACTTGACAGCCATTCATCATCAGAACTTGATGATAATGAATAAATATTAAATTGATTTTTGTCTTTTGTTTGTTTATTCCATATTCTTAATTGACTTAGTAAACTATCTAATTTTTTCTTATCCTTCTGAGCTAAATCACTGACAAAATAAGAATAAAGAAAACAGAATAATAAGAAAAGAAAATAATTAACCATATTGTTAAATAACCTGATATATGCCAATTATTCTCAAATCAAATTATTGTGATCTAATTGATTATTGAATAAAGGTCATTTGTTTGTTTTATGAATGTCATTTTACTGTGATTTAACAACTTAAAAATCAAAATGAATTTCATTTCAGTAATGAATACGTAGAAAATATTGAATTCAAATGATGTTGCTTACTTGACAAGTGTCACAGTTTCCATCATATGAAAACTTTGCTCTTGAAGATCATTGAGTTTTTGTGATAAATCAAGTGGTATAATATTTTCTTGTTCATATTGTTTTATAGTTCTCATATGAGCCTTTTTAAATAAATAAAAAAAATTATGTCAAATATATCGTTACTTATAGATTATTATTTATTTATTTCAAACAATATGAAGTACAATTCATGATTATGTACAAAACATACTTTGAATAACTTTCAATACTAAACATATTTGAGTAGGCTAAACATGAAATACTATACCAATAAGATCACTAAATCCTATTAATAATGTTTGAACGACGGTTAGTAGGTTTAGTAAATTAAGATTTCGGAGTGTTGTAACTGTCATTTAGTTTTTCGGCAGTTAACTCATGATCTGGGGTGTAAGAACGAATATTTTTATTGTTGCTTATCTAGGAAAACCATATACTGTCATATGGCTCCATAATAGAAAAGAAATGTAATTATGTATGTGCCTAAAATAACTAAATTAATTGTCCATCCGGATATAGTTATTGAATCTATACTCCTGTTTGGTTTAGTGAAGACATATATACTAGAGGGTTATGGAAGTTTATTTGTTTCTTCTTTTTAGATTAAGAAACCAATGGCAGTAATTGAATGTAACTAATAGAACATAAAATTTGCCGGGCGTTTGGCAGGATTATATGAAACTAAAGGTCTTGGTGATAATTAAACGTTAAAAGTAAGCTATGTAAATGATCATAATTCTTTTAATCTTTAACTAGCATGTAAAGCAACGGGTCGAACAACGGTAATTTAAGTTGGGTAAATAACTTCACTTTACAATCAGTTTCTCACTATAGGCTACATAAAATCATTATCAACCAGATGGTTGTAATTCAATTATCGAGCTTTCTAGCTCCTGATCAGCCAATTAAACCAAACTTATACTTTGTCAAGTTCATCATCTTGTTTCTAAATATCATCTTTCATGGTGAAGGTCATAGGAAGACTATATAAAATCTGTATCTTTGTATATCTATTCGACAATGATTATTAAATTAATTAATAAATAACTTTTAATGTTATCTATTGATTCTTTATCAATGTGATCTTTGTTGTAAGATTTCACGTTTTATATATAATGGAAATCACAATTATACACATAAATAAACTGAACTACGTATAAGAAATTTATGAGATCTATTACCTCACCTTATAACTACATTTATCGAATTCAGATATTTGCCCACACCTTTCTTTTTATAATTAATTATACCTTATATAATCAATATTAGTAATTAAACCAATCAATTAATTTCAATGGTTGAGATCATGAGTCAATTGAAGCTAGACCACCATGGAAAACCTGGAAGCATTGGACGGCCGTTTCATCCTATAAGCACTCGAGCGTGAGACCGATAGGACGTACGCGCCTCCTGGATTCCACTGCTAGCCACTATCCATCTTTGTTTAACATAGATTTTCATTTGTAGATCAGATGGATTAGGTTAATATTTCATATTACAAGTATAATAACTCAGTGATTATTGATCATTATGAAATAACTGGTATTATAAATATATGTATGTATATATAATATACGATTAAATTTACTTTGGGTAAAATCTAACAACTCACTTTATTCCAATCAAGCAGACTTTGAAATATTGCAATTTCTGTTCGACGTAGATGAATGCTATCTGACGTACGTGTTCCAACTGCAAATAAATTTATAAAGAATAAAATTAATGGATTGATCATACTTTTTTTCTTATACTACTTTTTATCTATCGAGTAGAATAGTAGTATTCATAACAGAAACGTCACTTTGACACTTAAGATTCAAAGTCATTACTGAGAAAAAACTTAATTTTTTGGGTGGTTTATGCCAAAGACTAAGATCGACTGAGGCATAATTGAAAATCGAAGAACACAGAGGCTTTATCACATACTAAAAACAGCTAATTTTCATTCCGTGACGGAAATGACCTAAAACGTTTTAAGTAGCGTTCCTGCGATTCTAGTATTCAGACATTAATAGTCGCTAAATGAAAATATTCAGTGAGAATAATCTGAAATTAATGTACAAAAATAAATAATCTAACAGGTGTTAAAATCATAGTTAAAGAAGAGTTGGTAACTTGATTCCAGTGTTGTTTATATTATGAATTTAGTTGATTCGATCATTTTGGTAAAACACTACGAACGTATTCGAATGATGAACCCCTAATAGGATAATGTTTGTTTTGAAAATCACTGATAACCTTTATCGTTTATATTGAGTAAACATTGAGACTCAAGTGCATCAGAAACCAACCCATACATATCAAATTTTTAACTACAGTAGCAACAACCCAAGAACTGACAAAACTAGCTAAGTACAAACATTACTAATGAAGGAAAAGAACACACTCCAGCAGACTTACAGAGTGAAAAAAAATAAAATAAAAACTTCATTGCTATATTTAAAAAGAATCGGCGATCCATGCCAACTCATCAAAAAATACCATTGTAGACCATCAGCAAAAACGAAATCAAATACAGAAACCGATAAACGGATCAACCTTCCATGTATAAAAGACATCAGAAATTGGAAAGACATTATTGAATGTGTTTAGAATAATTGTAGCACATAAACCGAAAAATCACTTCCCCCAGTCTTATACGAAGCGGGGGATGTGGTGATAAATGAAGTAAAGTCAAACATCGTCCATAAAATAAGGTGATCCAACTGTTCGAAGCACTATATCGGACAAAGTGGACGTCCGTGACGAATATCAAGCAGCGGTCAAACGCCATGATATATCTTCGCCTATATCAATGCATATAGACGCACATTCGGCAGAAAAAATGTTAAAAACTCGGATCAAAGAAACATTGAGGACATTAGAGAACGTTTAGAAGCTTGCGACTCAGGTCAATTAGGAATCAAAAACACTTCGAAATCGATCCGATTTATCAACCAATCAAAAACTCATAAGCAAAGCTAGGACCAAGAGTCAGACCAATGACAGAGACAATCAAAATAAAGATGTAGACAATGACAGGTTAAACGACAACAATAACCAATCAAAATTGAGGTCGATAGGACAAGCTTTCAACCACATAGCGAGAAATTCAAATACTTCACATTTACTTGAAGTTTGTGCTGATGATGTTGTTCAGAAGAACAACGAAGGCTCCACGATTAAACTATCCAGCTCAGCAAACGAAACTCTACTAAAATATACATCTATAAAAATGCAATCCACAAGTTTAAAGTCAATTTTATAGAATAAAAGTAACAATTATTAATAAATATATGATCTTTCAGAAGACAACAAAATGTCATTTTATTTAATTGATCTTTCTCATTGTTTCCTTGTAGATACCATCAAATTATTTTAAAGAATTAAAACATACCGTTAGGAAAAACTTACATGTCTTTGTTTTATTCCAATGTTCACGTGTAGCATCAATAAGTCGTAAGAATTCCTTATTAAAATTTTCCGCCTCAGCTGTTGGTGGTTCAGTTAAAGAGAATACTAAGTTATTTAGAAATCGTTTAAATGCTTCATCATCATCTGTAGTTAAACCCTATTGATTAATAGAGATGGAATAAAATAACAATGTTGAAAAGGGTGAGAGCAATTTTAGCAACTTGTAACACTAAAAAGTTTAATAAAAGCTACAAAAAGAGGTTGTATTCGAATTGGGTAACCTCACTGCCCATTTATTATTCCTTTAAACTTAGAGAGCCAAACACACCATGATTTTATGGCACACCTAAAAATCACAGGTCAAAATTTCCTCTCTACCGAATTTTAGCACTATTACGTCATTGATCTGTCTGCCCACTAATATGCAGAAGATAGTTTATCGCAATCCAGGTTAAGAACTTTGCAAGATGGTTGACTAGTTTAACTTTGAGGCTAGTATGTGTGAGTTCAAAGTGAGACTACTGCTTTGGGTAGAGAGACGAAAAGTAATCTATCACCTGATTAATTGACAAGCGTGCGAGAGAGAGAAAACGAGCCAACTCGAGCACTACTCAATTTATTATTCCTGATTCTGATTCACACTCCATTTCGGTTCCAATTCAGATAAGTGCATATAAGATACATGAAGAAATAGGTGACTAACAAGACCATAATGCACAAACAATTAGGAAGATACAATTATGTCCAAAACTGGGGATTAGGATAGAAAATAGAGTACAAAAGATTACGCCTAAATGATAATAGCTTTAGGACAGAAAAGGCTATGACAGTAAATCATAAATCAAACGAAAGCTTATGGTCTGTAGAATAAAACTAGGGACACAAATAAATGTTACTGTTTTACAAGCTTTGAATTGAATGAAATAACGTCTCCTGAAAAATGGCTTCTGTAGTTTGTCATAGTTTCTTATTTCTCTGTTCACATCAAGCATATTTAAAAGAATGGCAGATATGAATCTTGGAATCAATACAGAAATAGCTTAACTAGTAGGAATGGAAAAGATATATGAATATCATATAAAATGTGAAGGATGGGAGTGTGATTAGGAAACATTTAGTCTATTCATTGTTTACCAATGTATCAATAATCTAGGCAATCAAAATTGTTGTATCAGGAAATAGTAAGTTAATATCATGATTAGAATTTTTAATTATTGTCTTAAATAATAGCTCATAAGATGTACAATGAATGTTTATTTTACCCTTAATAAAGCATACTGCTAAAAGAAATCAATGAAACAGCCATTGACTAATTCTATATTGTGGAAACTTCCTAATAGAAAAATATAATTTATAAAATTGTTACTAAGATGCTTGTTAAACATTGCAGTACTCATTATTGTCAATGAAAACATCACTGTAGATGTTAGGTATGCTGGGGAAAATACCAATCATTATCATGTCAAGTCTAATGATGTCCTTGGACTCTAAATGGGCATTTCCTATTGGCCGTTATTTATTTCACTCGTTAAATATTGTACAGATGTTGTTTTCTATTTTTATGGTACGATGTAGTCTGTTTGGTTAGTATATAAGTAGAGGAATGGTTAAATAATTGAAGAGTGTACACTTTGTGAATACCTTCATTTATGAAAAGTATATCATAAATGATGAGAATGCCAGTAAATCAGTAAAAATGTATACAGAAATAAATTATCCATTTATCAAAAAATATATTTTTATGACTTCGCTTCCACGAGATATTAGACTTTAAATCTCCTATAAGATGATGTTCATAAGCAATATGTTAACTGAAATGGTTATTTTTTCAATATTTCTAATGAAGTATATCTATGCAAGTAATAAAATGTTAAAGATATTAGTTCTTAAGAATCTTATTATCATAAAATTCGTACTGAACATAAATATACCTAGTCACATCTTATAGTAAAGATAATTCAGGTTTGTAAATGGAACGTTACTTCAGATCAATGTACGTTTATCATTTTCTAGTCGATCAAATAGAAGCTGTTCAATTAAAAGACAATCTAATAGTTGGATTCATGAGTTGATTGAGGCTAGACCACTAAGAAAAACTTGGAAGCACTGGACAGCCGTTTCGTCTTCTCAGCAGTGCGCATCCACAATGCCGCTTCGCAAGATTCGAACCCAGTGTCTCGCGAAGCAGGATCGTGGATGCGCAGTGCTGAGTCTCATACTAGAACCAAACGGCCATCCAGTGCTTCAAGATATTCCATGGTGGTCTAGTTTCAATTGATTGATGAATCCAACTAGTAAATTACTAAAATCTCTACAATACCCTCTTTTCATAAATGACACTTAGTCAAGTTTTGTTATAACAAAGGTCAAAACAATCTAAAGATAATAAATTTGATAATTAAAAATTACCACCAGTTTTTAACCTGATAATTGTTTTTTCTTATTCCAAATCATAGTATTTATATTCAAAAGAAGTTTATGATATTCTTATCCCTTTCTTTGGTAAAGGAAAAAACAAACTCAATAAACTATCTTATCACCTTTTTATTCGCTTCAAAGTATTACGTTACTACTTGTATACTCTAATTTTGACTAATCACATATACTGATATTTATTATTGAGTAACATATGATGATCATTGTTCCAAATTTATAAGCTGTTTTAATAATTACATTTCTAGTGGTGGGCTAGTGGTTAAGCGCTCGCGCGCGAGACTAATAAGTTCTGGGTTCGAATCTCGTAAGGCGGGGTCGTGGATACGCACTGCTGAAGAGTCCTTCAATGCGGCGAAATGGCTGTCCAGTGTTCCCAGGTTTTTCATGTTGGTCTAGCTTCAATCGACTCATGATCTCAACTATTGCAATTACATTTTAACAAATTTGAATGAAATTATAGAATTTCATCTATTTAGTTACGTACTATTATTATTATCTAGTCACCTATTGTTTTTTAAATACAATGAACTTGATTTAAGTATTTAAGTAATGAAATTGATAATCTTTCACAACATAGTTTGTTTGCAAGCTTTGTTATCATATACATTTGGGAATCAATTTAATGGGTTTCACTATAAAGTAAATGCATTCAGTAGTATAATATATATACTACCCGAATTTCACATACATACATATACACTTACATGCAAGCAAATAAGTGTGTGTAATTTTTTTAAAAATTTTAACAAGCTTACTTTTTGTGATGTTTTTGATCTACGTCGAATTTTAAAGTATTCTCGGATTTCATCATGTTACTATCATATATGGAATATTTTTATATCTTAACAGCAGTATGTTTTAACTTACCATATTTTTTGATTAAGGTACTAACTATCAGTCAATTATGATAAGTATTCGTTTTATATGGAGTAATTGACTACTATTATGAAAACAAGAAAGATTTTTGAGAAGATTTAAATGTACTAGCGGGAGAAAATCATAATAGGAAACAAGTGCTTTCTGATGATTATACAGTTTTATTCAACGCTTCAAAGTTGTGTATATTCTTTTAATTTAGAGATACTTTATTGAATATATCTTCAAAGGAAAGTGAGAGGAACTGATCAACTATCTGGTGTTAAAACTTGGCAATTTTTAATTTCTATCAAGTTATTACATATTCCTATTGAAAGTAATGACATTACATTTTGACTGAAAATGATTTAGAGAGAACGAATTTAATAATCCACTTAGTATTGTTTGGCTTGTATCTTCCCATTGAGGTTTAAGACTGCAATTGATCAGTCTGTTATTGGCATATGTGCATACTGTGCTTATGCCTCGATATTGCTTTACTTCACAAGATTTTTGTAAGCAATGGTGAACAGTGGCTAGCAGTGGAATTCAGGACGCACGTTTCGTCCTATTTGGGACTCATCAGCTGAGAGGCAGGTACATCCAGCCGACGATTCCCAAATAGGACGAGACGCTCGTCCTGAATTCCACTGCTAGCCACTATCCACCATTGCTTACAAAAAGAATTTAATAATCTATCATAAAAAATACTACTAGTTAAAAATGGATTAAACAAGACGAGTCTTTATAAAAATAGATTATCAGTATAAAATACTATAGTTTTAACAATTTACACGTTTATTTACCATAGTTAATCCGTTTAAAACGAATGTTCTATGGGTTTTTGTTTTTGGATTGGAAATGCTTGTGAAGTAAGAGAATGTAACTATCCATACGTAATATCAAAGAAATATATATATATATATATATATATATATATATATATATACAAAATGTATTCAGAACTTACATCGCTTTCAATAAACCGTTGTAATAAGATTGTGAAAAATTGAAGACAAATTTTCAATTGTTCATCTATTATGTAATTCCAACTGTCCAATATAACTTTATATAGTCTATGAAGGATGAAAATATCGACATGATGTTGATTAAAATAAAACAATCAAATCCTAAGAAATTCAGTAAAATGTTTCATAATTAATGAAAACATTTGTAAAAGTAATTAATAGTTTGTTTTATCCCTGAACTGATTAAGTTTATCTATACAATTTTACCTTACAATATATTTGAATCATCTCTATGAAGTAATAGGAACAATTGAAAGTCATTTTAAGACTTTCTAGACAAATACTTACCAGATACTTCCTTAAATTTAATTAATAAATATTATGTCACATGATGATCATATAAACTTTCATTCAATAGGCCAAAAATCTGGTGATCAATCATTTTCGACTTATACACAATGTGATTATTATTAAACATTGATAATGGTTCACTTGGTATTGTTTTGCTTGAATTTTCCCCATTGAGGTTTAAGACTGTAATTGATCAATCTGTTATTGGTATATGTGTATACTGTGCGTATTGCCTCGAAATTGCCTTAATTCACGAAGTTGATAAGCAAAGGTGCTGGCTTCGAGTCCCAGAGTGAACATGAACTTTGAGATGTAGGTACATCCAGCGGATGAGTCTCGAATAAAATGAAACACACGTCCTGGATTCCAGTGCTAACCACTATCCATCTTTACTTACAATGGTTATTTAATGTTTTATTACTTTTATAATAATAATAATAATAATAATAATAATAATAATAATAATAATAATACTGTTTTATATGGAAATGTTTTTTTGTTTTTTCAATCTGAATATATGTTATAGGGAGTTATATTGAAATCGATTGTTAACAAGGGAAATATTTCAGTACTAACTTTACGAAGAACCTTTTAACAGAATAAACTCAGTCTATTTGAAATATATGTGGTCAAATGGGTTAAATTAAATTAATAATGTGATTCCTTCATGAAAATTTTTAACATACTATATACAAAGGGAATATTTTCAAATATGAGCAAACTAATGAGGTCAATGATTTTGTATCTGAATCAACAGAGATATAGTAGTAAATATAAAACTTAAATCTTAAATGTTGAATACTATTTGTTAGTTATCACTATGGATTGACATCAAACAGAAAACTATTAAAAGGACGATAAACTATAAACAATCGTTTGATCTTATTTTTAAAACTTCACAAAACTAATCATTTACGGCATAAAATAGAATTGAATGTGGAAACTGATGGTCAAAATAGTACATGATAGAACTAGGTCTCTTAGTTAGATTTAGATAGTTAACATTTTATAAGTTTATTCACTTTGCAATATTGTACAACCATCATTGGTTATATATAACTCGTAACCTAAAGAGCTTTTAACAGTTCAATTATTGAAATCAGATGTACTTGTAAGTTAAGTGGAAATAAATGAGAAATAAATTACCACAATCATCTTCCATCAATAGTAATGTTATGATGGGATGAAAAGTCAAAATTAAATTGATTTACTCATTATCAGTTTAGGGGTTGTAGAGACGTTTTCAATTGATTATATTGATTATATATATATATATAATATACTATGCGGGTAATTTTTTGGGAACAGTTATATGAAGCAATGAAAAAATACAGTTTAATAAATAAGCCAAGTAAATAATAACTTATAGTTGCTTACTTTATTGCCTTCTCTTGAGCTTCCATATCGGGTGACGGAATCCACACACATACAGATGGTACTAATGCTTCGACTTTCCCATCAATACTTCTAATATGCCAATGAAGCTTTGACGATGATTGTCCCAACGGACTGACATTTTCTGTAAAAGTACTACTCGTTTGATCACTACTTGTGATTTCAGAACCACTGGTTTGACCACGACCGAAATTCCAATAAGGCATTGTTGTAATTCTAGGTTTCGGATATCGTAAATAAGAGTTACTGTCAGTTGAACGATCGTCTATTTCTTCAGTTCTTGAATGACTGTCACTGTCTGTTTCACAAATATCCAATGTATCAGATGTCATATTGTGTGATGCTTCAGATGTTATATCTTCCTCTTGATTAGTACCTGTTCTTAGTAGGAATTTCTGTTTATTTTCTACACCACCAGCCATATTGTCAATTATAACAATTCGTTCACCAGCGGTTAGTTTAAATTTAGGCGTTTCATAATCGCATAACATTACACCATTTACAGGGGATTTAATACGATTAGTTCGTAGATAAATAGGCACAAGTGATTTAGATTGTTCAATTAATTGTTTTGAACGATTGACCACATAATTTAAATGATCAAACTGGCTCTGAAAACATATTTTCCAATAAATAATGAGTTGAATTTGAGTTATTGAACTAAAGACAATTTTCATAATAATAATTAATTTCCCAGAGTACTCTTACCACAATTTTTTCTCTTAATAACGAATTATCAAGTATTTTCATAAAGATTTCAATGATAAATACATCGGTTATTTAATCAGAACATTTATATATACAAGCAAGTGGCCATCAGGACTCAGTAGCTAAGTGGGTAACGTGATGGAGTTTGAAGCTAATGAACTTGGCTTGAGTCCTGAAGTGAACGTCAATTCTAGGTTGCAGATACATCTAGTTGACGAGTCCCAAATGGGATGAACGCGCACACTAGATTCCAGTGCTAGCCACTATCCCTCAATGTTTATAATGCTTGTGAATTAAGATAATATGCACAATATGCGCATATGCCAACAAGAGACTGATCAATTGCAGTCATACACAACAATGGGAAGATACAAGTAAGCAACATCAAGTGAATTTAACCCAAATAAAATATTTAAAAATCAAAAAAATATATAACAGCCTAGTTAAAATCCTCGCAAAATTATATTAACATATTTAACTAATTTGTATGTCTAATGTAAAAATATTTCAAAAAGAAGAGAAAATAAATTGAAAGTACACTGATTCCTTTTGAACTTCAAACAATTACTGAACACTATAATTTAATTAAAACAAAATTAAACTAGTGATAACCAAGTGCTTATAATACAATAGATACGCTAATATAAATATATCAGGTGATATCAGACAATACAACATTCTATTTGCTTTATGACATGCATATCAAGCAAATGAATAAATTAAAAATTGACAAAGAAATGAGGTCAAATAAATCCATCTCTACTTTTTTTGTTTCATCTTTTAATTTTAGTCTCCACCGAAACATTCATTAAATACTCATATCTCTTTATATATTCATCATATTTAATTGTTGTAATTAGTGTTAATACAGTAATGTCGAACTGTAAACGTTGATGTATCATTTTGTCAACAAACATTTTTGAATATACATACATATTACATTAAATATTAGTTATTTAAATTGATGTAATATCATGTGCCTACTGAAAATATATTTGAGTAGTATGTTATTTAAAGCATAAAAATATTGCAAATCTTCATCTTCAAGGTAGGCATGATTGTTATATTAAAGGTTGATTACACTATTTGATACCAGTTCAGATAATTGTAATCAAACTTGCAATTCTGTAAAAATTAAATTACGTATACAAAACTGCACAAATTCAGAAATCATTTACACTTACTCTTAACCAATCTCTTAGTTCTTTTGATGAATTTGTATAATATTCATGATTCATTTCAGCAAATCGACCACGATTATATAGAAATTTCTTATGTCTGTCATAAAGTTTAGTTTCTAAATGTCTGGCATCATAATAAAACTAGAAAGACAAAAATAATACAGTTTAATTGTTTTCATTTTCATTTCAAAGGAAATTTAGTGTTAAATTACTTGATTTTTTTAAATTTTATTGAAAACCAAAACAATACTTTTGAGTAATAATGAGAGTCTACATGAGCAAAGTTTTATGCGGTTTATTTATACATCAGACGTCTTTTTTTAATCAAGTTTCTGAACTGCTCTAGTCAATTACACTTCCTATAACTCATGTGGATTTAAGCTTGATGAGGAAATTATATGTTGATTCGTTTATAAAGTATATCTCAACACTGGATTTTCGGTTATCTGTCTTTGAAGAACATGACAAATTCAATATTGTACCTTCACATTTCTAGTTTAAGAAGAAATATACGAGAAAATGTTTTAAATCTATTGAAAAACATATTTTCATTCAATTAATCAAACGTCAATCAGTACCTTTCTTAAGGTCACCCTCTGACTACATTTATATAACTATATGTAATTTCATTTGCAATGATAGAGAGAGTGTTAATACACTGGTTTTTTGAACAAATGCTTTGTCAATCTGTTTCTAACAAAACATAGTTTTTAAAAGTTCAACTTTTAAGTCACTAGTACGAAAAGGAAATAAAGTGTATGTCTTTAGAAGTTCAAATTAATCGAAAAACTACAAATGCCACTTTTACCCAACATTACAGAGACAATTGTTATCAAATACACGTTTATGTGTTTTAGAAGAACAAGTGACATATTGGCTTTTTGTCTTGATAAACACAATTTTAATCGATATCATGAATCGATCAACATTAGACTACCACTGGAAACCTGGAAACAATGGACGGCCGTTTTGTCCTAGATTGAGAGTCCTCAACAATTTCCAGAACCACATATTGACAATTTTACTAACCTCATTTTATTGTTTACATAATTGATGCTTATTCATCTAGTGGAATTCTAGTAAAATGACAACAATCTGTTGTGTCAACACTTATCTTATTCAGTATGGTTATGTACATGCTTATTTTTACTATGTTTATCGATATACATAAATTCATCTCCGCTACTCTATATAACTATTTTCCTTAAAAATCCATCTGTTATATAACGTTTGATACTAAAATTTATTTTTTCTTCCTTTTTTATAATGATTTTCATTTCTTACGTATATATTGTACCATTCTGAACTAACCAGATACGTTACTATGAATATTATTGACCGTTACCATTAAACTGCATAAGCAGAGGGTGGTCAGAATTCTGTAGCTAAGTGGATAACACGATAGTGTTTGAGGCGAACGTTACTGGGTTCGAGTCCCAGAGTGAACTTCAGTTCTGGGATGCAAGTACATCCAAATGACGAGTCCCAAGTAGAACGACACGCTCATCCTGGATTTGACTGCTAGCCACTTTCCATCTTTGCTTATAGTGCTTATGACTTAAGGCAATATCGAGGCGTTCCGTAGAGAATGCACATGTGTCAATAAAACCAATCAACTGCAGTTCTTAACATCAATAGGAAGATTCAAATAAAATGAATTTAGTGGATCTTCATTTAAAAATACAATGTAACATTTATACCTTTCTACGCAAATATATAGAGGATTTTGTAATAATGAAGACCATAATACGCAAATACATGTATTCATGACTGGCAGGTTGAATATATGAAAAAAATTAACAACTGAAAATGGTATACTATATTCCCGTGACATTTACTTTGTAACTATATTATAAACAATATTTATTACAATACAAACTAAAGTACTATCTGTAAGGATATTATCTTGTTAATTATAGGAGTTTAGTCACTAAAATACATTGCATAATTTCAAGTTTATAAATGTAGAACAACTAGATTTCATGTTAATTTGATTTCTATTTCGAGCAATTATAAAGGACTCAGTTATAAACCATATTATTTTATTTTATTTCTTTAATCGAGATCATGAACCGATTGATGTTAAACCACCATTGAATACCTGGAAGCACTGAACGGCTGTTTCGTCCTATTGTGGGACTTTTTAGCAGTGGGTATCCACGATCCCGCTCACGGGATGGAGCTAATCCGTGTGGGGTAGAGACAGGTATCTACCTCATAACAATGGAAGACAGTCGCGCAATTTCGTGGATTGTTTGAGGTTAGACATTAGCACCATTGGATGCCGGCTCAATGGTTCAGTAGGTTAAGCGTTCATGCGCGAGACTGAAGGCCCTGGGTTGGAATCCCGTGAGCTGGTTAATGGATATCCACTGCTGAGGAGTCCCAAAATAGCACGAAACGGCCGTCCAGTGCTCCTAGGCTCTCAATGATGGTCTAACATCAATCGGTTCATGATCTCAATCAAAAAAACTTCTTAATCTCCACAACACTTATACTGATATATTATTTTACCTAATTGGATCTTAATTATTCTCCGGATTACATAATAAGAATTAAGATATAAATTTACTAAGTATATCTAATCTAGTTAAGTATTATTTGTTATACAATTTTTGTTTTAGATTTCATAAGAAGTAATTTTACCAACAAAAAATACCTAATTCATTGAAGATCATAGATTAATTATACAGCATTAATCGATAATAAGTAAAATATACCAAATTACCTGATGAAAATCGGCAGCATTTTTAAGATGTATAGTTGCTAATTCTGAATATCGACCAAGATTTTGCCAGCATCGATTAATAGGTCCAGATAATTTCTAAAAATAAAAATAAAAGAGTTAACAGTAACTAATGAAAAAACAGCAACCGATTTCCACATATCAACTAAAGTTCTGTATTTGTTTATATGAAATTTTTAGCAAAAAAATAACGTTTATTTCTCATGTAAACAAAATTTGATTTTACTAGAATAAAGATTTTGCATTTTTGTTTTTGTTTAGATATTATGTAATATTACATAAGATTTATATTACATAGATTTGTAACATTAATTGATTATCATAAGCTTTATAAGTAAAGATGGATAGTGGTTAGCAATGGAATTCAGGACGTGGGTTTCATCCTATTCAGGACTCGTCAGATAGATGTACCTGTATTGCAGAGTTGATATTCACTCTGGGACTTGAACCCAGTACCGTTCGCTTCAAATGCTATCGTATTATTCCCTTAGCTACTGAGTCTTGATTGATTGTGTCATTCAGATTTATAGCTAAACTGTAAGTAGTATTGCAATCCCTTCGCTGTGTATATAAAAGATAATTCATTCATATCTTTAGCTAAACACATTCAAATGATAGTTTATCAAGAGTTGAAGATTTTCACGATTCCAACTGATATAGTCATATCAATGTTTACAAAATAAGAATAATATAAACACTATCGAGTAAAAATCATTGTTTATAATAAATTCATCAAGTATCAATGGTGACTTATTATTAATCTTACTGATTGAATATAAATCATATGAAGAAGAGATTTTAGAACTTTTCACATAGATTGTCAATAATCTATATATTTTTTGTTATATTTCAATGAGTAGAAAAATTGTATCTTCGACGTTTTGTTACTTAGCATAAGTCACTTCTTCAGAGTAATCATTCTCATCGATATAAATAAATTATGAATTGTAGAAGTATGGTAAGAATAAGCTGAAGCTAATATTGTGGTGTGTGCTACTGATTTCGACAGATAGAAGTAGTATGTATCATCAATCGAAAATGGAATGTCTGGTGGTAGAAGGTTGAGGAAATCGAAGAGAATAGAACGAGAACAGTGAGTGATGGGTATGGAAACAAAGGAACAAGAAAGTCTTAGAGGATTGATTGACATTTAGCGAATGAAGTATTTACTTTATGTAAATGAAATAAGATATTTGTAATCTAAGATTAATTTTGATTCGATTATTTATTCTCTGAAGAAGTGGCTTACATTGAGTCATGAAACGTCAGAAAGTCTAATTTTTCTACTCATTGAGATATTACAAATATATCAATTTATATATAATAATTTACCCAATGCTCAACTTATTTGAAATTATCAAGTCAATCCTTGGTAATGATACTAATTTACTGTATGATCCTCAGATTTTACAAAGATGTTCTTTAATTTTGTATTACAGTACATTCGATTGTCCTCACTTGTGTTTTCATTCATTACAATGTTATTTACATTAAGTTTACTTTTAAATTTAAAATGTAAATCAAGAAGTTCATTTTAGTATTCAGTAATAAAAGAACTTGGATACATCAATAGACTTTTTAGTCAATTAAAAAGCAGTAGATACCATAAATTTTGATAGAGTTTTGAGCGAGACTATAATTTATAGACGAGCCAATCAGAAGCGTTTGAAGGATTTCAAGGTTACAGCGCCAACTTCATCCATTTGGCTAAATAGAGTTTTGACGTCAGTTCGTGATGAAAACCCTATATATAATTTCTAGCTAAGGCAAATTAGGACAATTATTGCGAACTGGATAGTAAAAGCACCAGTAACACAGACTGCAGCCAGATACTACAATATATACGGATGATTGGAGAGCGTACAGACTCTTAAATAGGATTGGTTATGTGTATCGTGTCGTTATCCACGTGGCATTTTGTGTACTCAACAATTGGAGTACACACAAACAATATTTAAACTATGTGATCGAGGCTGAAAGAGTTTTTGCAACCTTATCATGGCTCCAGAGGTCAACTATTCTGTAACCATATGGATGATTCCCTCTACTGCATGCATTACTATTTTACAGCGTCTGAACCTCTTTCTAACCATGACAAGTTTTTGAACCATGTATAAGAAGTGTATCCACTTTATTTATTTGGTTTTGTATAATATATCTTTACTCTATACTGACTGTTTGCTGATTGGCTAATATTTCCCAACGTCACTTAAAAGGTTGTTCATAAATTACAGTTTCGCTGAGTTTTGTTCTCTGAGCTAGATGGTTTGGCCATGAAACTATCATCGTTCTTCTGAACGACATCATCAGCATAAACTGTAGCTATTTACAATAAGTGATTTTGTATTGGGAATATATTATTATACTACTAATCAACTTGATATTGTGAATAGATAAAAGCATAAACTGATCAAAACTATCAAAATGTTACATAAACATTTGATAATATATAGATAGTTTTAATGTATTTTCAGCTCATAATCAATAATAGTACTTGATATGAAATAATTGATATTTATCATTTTATTGTGTAAAACAAAAAATAAATCCATACTGATATATGAGTAGAGTGGATAACATGGACAAATATATCAAAACTAGAAGGGGTTTTGTGGAGATTTTAGTCATTTTATTAGTTGAAATCATGGGTCGATTGAAGCTAGACCACCATGGAAAACCTGGATGCACTGGATGGCCGTTTCGTCCTAGTATGCGACTCCTCAGCAGTGTGTATCCACGATCCCACCCCACGGGATTCGAACCCAGGACCTATCAGTCTTGCACGCGAGCGCCTAACCATTAGACCACTGAACTGACATCCAACGGTGTTAATGTCCAACTTCAACCAAAAATCTCCACAAAACCTCTTCTGATGATAATCATCTGCTCACTAGTGACTGACTTCAATAAGCATTTCCTGGAGTTCTTGTGAGAAGCTGTCACCAGTGGAGTTCAGCCAGGTCTGTTGTGGCATATCAGCTCACCGAAAACAACGGTGACGGTGGCGCTATTTCATGCAATGGTTGAAGTTAGACATTAACACCGTCGGATGTCGGCTCAGTGGTTTAGTGGTTAAGCGCTCGCGCGCGAGACTGATAGGTCCTGGGTTCGAGTCTCACGGGGGCAGGATCGTGGATGCGCACTGCTGAGGAGCCCCATCCTAGGACAAAACGGCCATCCAGTGCATCGAAGTCTTCCATGGTGGTCTAAATATGTCATTGTATCATTATAATATGACGTAATATTGTAACTAAGAAATCATTTATAGCGTTATATAGTTGTATTTCATGCAGTTTAATTTACTGTCCTTTAAATGCTAAGCAACTAAATTGTTGAGATATTTAATATCGATTAGAGGTGGATGATATAATATTTGAAGAAAATTATATAATAAAATAAAATGAATTGAATAAAACACATGAAATCCAGTCACATGAAATCATATGAACTTCATTTCGATTATTTTCAAACTATGAATTATACTAGTATCATAAGATTGAACTCAAAGAATACAGTTATTAAATAGATCAAATCATTTAGACTGTTTGGATACTGTATTCCATTTTATTATTACCTGTACTAAAAGTATTAATATCTAAGCAAATTTTAAACTTTGAAATGTTGATCAGATTTAATGGATAAAAGAATGAAGAAATATGTACAATTAATTGTGTCTCAGCGTTTTTTAGCATAGTTATTTTCTACGTAATGGGGTTGATGACACCACTTGCAAACCTCCTACTCTATTCGAGCTTGATACTATCAGAAGCTTTAAAAGAGCTACAGGTGGACAACATTCTTACAGTTGAAGAATATATGGAATTCGAAACAAATGTCAACAAATATCAAGATCAGAATTTTCAATATGAACGTCAAGACAGTTCTACTGTACAGAGCTGAAACTTGGAGAACTATTACAACCATCATCAAAAAAGTACAAGTAGTTACAAACAATTGTCTACGTATGATATTCAATGCCCGTTGGCCGAATACCGTCAGTAAGAGCCTATTATGAGAGAGAACAAACCAACATCCAGCTGAAGAGGAAATTAGGAAAAGACACTTGAGGTGGATAGGACATGTATTACGGAAATCATTAAGCTGCATCATGAGGAAAGCCCTAACTTGGAGTCCTGAAGAGAAACGAAAAAGAGAAAGACCGAAGAACACACTGAGTCGAGATTTGGAAGGATACATGAAAAGGATGAATAGAAACTGGGAAAGATTGACTAGGAGAGGGTTGCATGGAGAATGCTGGTAAATGGTCTATGCTCCTTCATGAGGAGTAACAGGTATAAGTAAGCAAGTAATCTGTCTCATTTTATGGATTCACAAGTTCTGATTAAATATCATGTATATATTAGCTAAATTTGTTTGCTTCACAACAGAACAGACATCACTACATAAATTATTTATTGTATACTGATACTTTTCTCATACCATATATACATGGTCATCATCTATCGCTATATGTTATGTTATATGTTCAAGTAGCAAAGTGAAGGTTTAGGGTTCAAAGAATAAGAAATACCAATAATTCGACCAGAGTCAACGATAGAATAGAACAGTTCATTAGGTCTATATCATTAGTGTTGGAATAACAATTTGTTACCTTTTAATAAACTTATGAATACCTTATTCATTTATGTTTTTTGTCAATTTATTTTCATTATATTCACTTCAAAATATTATACATAATGTTGATTTTGTAATAGCTTTCTACACTAGTGTGTTAGATTATATTTTGTAGCATCTGCAATATCTGTAATCATATTAGTCAGTGTGTGTTTGTTCTAGAGGATAATTGAATAGTATGTTAAAGATTGATACTTCAAGAAAATAACGTCTCTTCTTGTGAGATCCATCTGATAGTTTAAACAGAAAAATTGTTTCTATTATGCAAACATGAATTATGGCTTTAAAACAGATCTAACGTGTGTAGTATAAGAACAGGTCTTTAAACGGTCATATCAGTAGAATTTAGTTGAAAAACAAATTTATAAGTATAAACTAAAAGTTATCATCAAATCTAGGCTACTTCATTCAAAGATTTTAAAAAAATAGATATAAAAAATGAATGGACATATTAATGTATTAGATTAGAGCTGTATTTGATCTCCGGTGTTGGATATCATGAAACTCACAAAAGCTACGCATAGTTGTAATTTAAGAAGTAACAAGTGAGATGCAGTAGATGTTATAAGTGATATAGTGATTTCAAAATTCAATTTAACAATTGAACTAACATCAATCACAAGGCTTGTTACCTGTGTAGCCTGGCCATCAAAAAAGGATGCATTTCAAAGCATTTACACTACATAGTCGAGTGAAATGTAGTCATGCTCTAGAGTGGGTTGTCAAGTGTTCAAATCTGATAAGTCCTGAAACTAAACAAAATAATTTTCCAATCCTCCTTAGTTTTTAACGGTTCTCAGGTTGATATCGTTTCGTATAAATAATTGCTTCCAAATATGTGATTATTTCTACTATTGACCCCTTGATTAGCTAGTATGTAACTAGTTTATTCAAAAGTCATATTGAGTAGCTTAGTCATACATTACTGGTGAATAATACTGTTTTATCAATAAAAATTATCAAGGTGTTTAAAAGAGAATAGTTGATGGTGAAGCTATAATTTATAGACGACCTTTGAGCGACGCTAGACTGAACTTAAGAGTGTCCACCTAATATTTAGGATCATATGAGGGTTATAAACCTGCATGAGGAATTAGAATTATCATTTACAATTGATAGTTCAGGTTAGGAATTAGATTTAGGTTTTTCATCACGAACAGATATCAGCTATAATGCCAAAACTCTATTTAGCCAAAATCTGAGACTTGTTATCTTATATCTGATTGGTTTGTCCATAAATTATAGTCTCGACTAGTTGATTTTGAAAGTATTTTTCATTTGTTGGTGTATTGTAAAATTAGTCTAACAAATAGTATTTTAATTGTTTATGACTCTACATTTCTTTAATTTCTTCCATAAAGGTATAATGTTTTTAATGTCTACATACTATTAGTTTCCTTTTTCATATCTACTTGAATGTATTGTAGTGTCGGTTACTATGTTTAGCCCACATACCTTATTCTAACTTCTGAACAGGCGAATATATTCATTCTTCTTGAGTCACGTTTTGACCTTGTCAATTATTCGCTTATTAATCTTGACTGTATTTTTATATGATCGTATGCGTATACACTTCTTATCCTATTCACCACATGTCTGTAACTTATTTTTGTCTAGCTATAAATATTGATTAACGCTTGATCAAATCGATTTGGCTCACTGTGTGTTATTTCACTTCGATCTCTTCTCTTCCTACACTACCTTTACTTCATCTCCCTGATTGTCCGTTCAGGTTAATGAGTATACTAAATACTAGTATTCAAACTCCATTCTCATATTTAACTTATTTAATTCTGTTATTCACTAACGCGATTTAAGTTCATAACAATATACGAGAATAGTCAAGATGCATATTTCGATAGCAATCAATCAATAACGATCATTTATCCTATCTAATTAAAATCAAACATTAAGCCATTGAATTAAATATTTAATTATCAGTATAGGGTTTGTGGAGATTATTAAGTTTTTAATTGAGATTATGAATCGATCGATGTTAGATCATCGTTTGAAACTTGGAATTGTTTGAGATCTAATTTGATGTGTATGAATTTTGAGCAAAGAGAAAAAAAAACATGGAATACTTAAACTCTAATCATTTTCAAGTAAAGAATTCAAGATGATGGTGATGAGAGGGAGACTTATAATTAATCTCTTACATTAAAAACTGTTATCTAAATAGTTAGTATATTATTTTTCAAAAAAAAAGGACACTCAAGGTATCTATGAATAGACTTACTCTTCTCCAAAATTTATTATCAAGATTTTCCATGATAAGTCTTAATGCACGTTTAGCATTGAATGCTGTAACATCCTATGAACAAAAATATATTAATTTACATTCAATATGAAGTATGATGAATACTTACCGAATAAATATCTTCCATACTTGTAATTCCAGCTAAATAATGTAAACAATCTTTATTCGTTTCAACTCGTTCCTATTAAAGAATGAAATAAACAATTTATACTCTATGATTTTAAATATAAATGCTTACTGTTATATAGCTGATTTGATTCAAAATATCATGATTCTAAAAATTAAAATAGATTAATGTCATAAATGTAATTTTATATCATATCATACCGAACTAGTTACACTTTCTCTTATCCATTTTGATGATCCTTCAATTGTCTGTTGTCTAGCCATTTCATCTTCCAAACTTTGATGGGTATAACCGAAAATTGGTGTTTCACATGCATTCTATGTAATACAAAGAGAAAAAAAAAGACAAAAAAAAATCGTGAAACATGTGACGAGTATAAGAAAGTGTTCGAAATTAAATCTATCATACATAGTAACTTTAGACTTGAAATTATTATTAATTCTATACAGCCTTCAAGTATTGATGTTAAGATAGAAGTAATATATAAAACTTGAACTTAATAACTTAAAGCTATAAAGTAACTGACGTGACTCAAAACTGATCAGCTCGAATTGGTTAAAGTAAAAGACTTAGTTCAGCATGACAAAATTATCCTAAAATGTGAGACATATCTTGATTAAGAATCGGGAATCAGCACTCACTGTCTTCTTTCACAATAGTTTAAAGCATTTGTGCATACCCGCAGTCATATGCTTGATCAGGCCTACAATCCACAGGTCTTACGGTGGAAATTATAGCAACTAGACAGTTAGACAGGTATCGATAAGTCACACTTTTATCCTTACTATCCTGATCTGCAAAGCCTTCATGAGTTTGTTCTAGTTTTTGGACGGACAAATCATTTTTTTGTTGGCTTTATATATCTTGCCACTATCAGTTATACCCCTTGATTGTTTTAATACATTCTTGGCGTACGTATATCTACCTATCTACCTGGTTGCCTTTTCATTCTAGTCATAAAAAATTGATTCATGCTCAATTAAATTACGTAGGTCTATCACCTTGCTTGTCGTATGTGTCTGCACAAATGAATGGATGAAATAAATGCATTCAAAATGCATTTCGTATTCGACTTTTATTACTTGTACTGTGTGACATGATCGATAGGTAAACCATATTGGGAATTAGATATAATCCATCTTACATCGGGTTCATTCATCATCGTCATCACTCAGTCAGTGAGATACTAGAAAACACATTCTGTAAAACACAAATCTTCCTCTGATTTCATTGATGAATTAGTGTTTTACTCTTGATTTTGTTGGTTGTATATATAATACTGATTCTTATTGGTGGTTCGGCAGACCCATGTTGAATATAATATCAATGATCTGCATTTGTCATATTTACTAGAATCTTGCCATGAACCAATTTAGTAGATTAAATAATAATAAAAAGTAGATTTATGTTACTAGAAAACCTCCATTTCATAGTTTCCATACTAGTATTGAAACTAATATCCTTTGGAAAATATGAAGATACCGAAAGAAATCAAACACTTGTTTTGTCTTCTATTAGGAAACGCTTACACAACATGCATCTATGAAAACTTATAAGATTGGTTGTATGAAATTAGGTTCCTATCATTTGTAGACATTTGTTAACCTAATGCAGTTAAATAAGTCATGAGTGAACAAAAGTTACGGGTAAACCTATAAGAGGAGGTCCATCCTTAAATATGGTTACTAAAGAGTGATCTGATTGATATTCATTCAATGCAGGTGGTTAATGAATTACATCAGTAGGTTTCGTCATGTTTCCATTCGGTAAATCATTCCAATTACTTAGTAATTATGACAGACAAGTTTTTTGATAAATATTCACCCTAATCTCCATATCCATGTAGATCACTAACACTAGTCCCTATTACAATGAGATTAAAATTATTTTATACCTTTCTTTCGAATTCTTTCCTCCTATATTATATCCTTATACTTAATCTTTCTTTTATACATTACCGATTCATATGTGTGCCTGGTCCTACGTTTTAGCTGACTGACTGACTCCAGTAAAATATTTATCAAAAATATGATGACTTTGAAAGAGAATTTTATGAACCGAAGTACTATCACGATGAAGTACTATCTATCAAACAATAAGTAAAAATCAAAATAAACAGAGTATCTATTTCTTTTTGACTTGAAGCACCTCCAGTATGACACAATGATATATGGAAGTAAAAATAAAGATCATAAGATTTCACATGATAGTTATCAGTGATTTCGGTCGACTACAATAGCTTATAGTTTCCATCTTTATTGTTTAAATAATAACTATTTTCAGTGATTTAAATCACTTTCATTCAAACCAATTACTCAAGTTATTTATGAATTCACAACATTTTTGTTGTCATACAAAATTTACATATTTCTAAACATTTTACAGTGACAAGTATTTAATAAATTTGATTTAACAGACATCTAGGGTAATTAGACTGCTATTTTATTGACTAAATTATATGATCTACTATTATTTAACTAAATCATAATTTCATTTCAGTTGATGTTAATCATTTAAAAAGTACACAACATCTTGTTGTACTTCATTCTACTTGACATCTTATCATTATTTTAACAGATAGAAGTTGTTTTTTTTAAAAGAAAACAATAAACAACCTAGCAACAAATATCTGTCTTATAAATCGTCTATGAAAGATATAATTCTATTTATATAACCATAGCAACTTATATACAACACACAACAATCTATTCATTGATTAATAAATCAATAAATTTACGATAATATAATGATGAAATAAGATAGCTGTGCCAAATAAATTTTCTCTTTTTTTTCTTTCTTTTTTTGCCTTAGATTTTATTAAGAACATAAAGATATACACTTACTATTATGAATAGGTATACAACTATAAAAGTATTCAATAGACAATACTCTTTCTGTACAATACAATAAATAACTTCTCGTTTGTTTGTTTTTTTTTGGAAAAAAAACTAATAATAAACAATACTTTGTTAATTTTATTAATAATAAGTAGTATATTAGTATTATTAGTGCAAGTTATTCTTTGTCACTAATGACTACTAATTCATTATTATAAAAGTAACTATGCATATTTTTTTTATGAAAAAAATAAATTAGTTTATATATTCAATATATACACATATGATACAATTATTTTAAGGTTCATTTTCATCTTTCCAATTTTTATATTTGTGCTAGTTTAAAAATAATGTGTAGGTATTAGTTTAAAAGTAAATATGATGTATGTAAGTGAGTTTGTAGTTGATTAGAGGTTGATGTACTTCTTCAGTTGGTATATATATATATATATATAATAGTGTATGTTAGTAAGTAACATAGAAATTCCAAAGTATATTTCAATGTGCATAGTTATTTATAGATTGATATATATGAGCTGATTGTGTGTATATCGTTCAAACGTTTAACTATAATAATTCACATAGTAACAAATATTCGAATTGTTATTATAATGAAAACAGTAATAATAATAATAATAATAATAATAATAATATAATGGTAATTAACTCCGTCTGGAGCCCCTCTGGGGTTACTGCCGTCCGAAACCCGGATGAAGGAGGAGAGTTAGGCATGGGGTTAGCGACCCTACCTCATAGTAAACTAACTGACTAAAAAAACGCTTACCAGAAAAAAATTATTTGAACCATTTAAACTCTGCTCTGAGACTGATCAATTTCAGTCCAATGGGAAGATTCAAGTAAAACAATATCAAGTGAATTAAACTTCAACCCATTGCACAAGCAAGTGGCAATCAGGACTCAGTAGCTAAGTGGATAACGCGATGGCGTTTGAAGAGAACGGTACTGAGTTCGAGTCCCAGAGTGAACATTAACTCTGAGATGCAGGTACATCCGGCTGACGAGTCCCAAACAGGACGAAACGTGCGTCCTGAATTCCACTGCTAACCCATTACTATTGTTTGTTTAGATTTGAATTAGTATATCTGATACAAGTTAAAACTTCAATATTCTTCTTTAAATGATATCCTGTTAGCTAACTGAATATTCGGTTATAATAATCCCTTTTTAATGGATAGTTAGTATTATTCAGATGAAAGTATGTTTGATTGACCAGTATATCATATATTTCATTGACTATGTAGATTCTCAATAATGTGGTGTATATTAAAATTTTAGTTTTATGATACAATATAAAGTTTATTAGGTTTTTTTCACTAAGAAAAGAAATCTGAGTATTTTAGTTTTAAAGGTTTCTCATACATGTCAATTACAGTTTCAGATAAGAAACTACTGTAATTTATATCACTTATTACAGAGATGTAATGGGTAAATGAATCGTTATTTAATTGTAATAATCGTTGAGTTGGCAAAAACAATGTTTAGAAATCAAATTCAATGAGTTTTGGTTAATTCTTGGTACTTTTTCGTCGTATAAATGTCAACTATTGAGCTACTGTTTAATGATTCTATCGATACCCCATTTTCTGATAGATATTTTCTTGTAAACACCCATCTTATGACCTTGATTTGATCCTACATGGTGAATTTAAAGTATCTCTTTAAGTTTCAAAGTCTAAAAGATGAATCATTAAGAAATAATTTACTTGAAAAAAAGTAAACATGTATTTATCATAAAGGGATTTTGTGAATATAATAGTAATTTAACAGCTGAGTTCATGAGTTAATTGAAGCTAGACCATCATAGAAAATCTGGAAGCACTGGACGGTCGTTTCATCCTAGGATGGAACTCCTCAGCAGTGCGTATTCACGATCCCGCCCTCCACGAGATTCGAACCCAGGACCTATCAGTTTCGCACTTAATTTCTAAACCACTGAGCCAGCATTCAACGATTTTGATGTCTAACTTCAATCAATCCATGAAACTGAGCCACCATCTACCATTGTATTTTATAATGCGATGGAATCTTTAATTCTGAAATGCGAGACGTAAATTTATAAAATAAGCCAAAGAGTGTCATGAAAACTTAGCATAAAAGTACGTAAATGTCTAAGCTTTTAAAAGTCGATACATTAGAGAACTATTTTTACTTCATAAACTATCAAGTACAGTTAATAATATAATGTAGATACCAGACAGTATTGTTTAGCTAAGTAAGTTTAAACTTCTGTCGATGCTTTTCAAAACCTTTATACTATTAATGCACAGTTAATTTCATATTACCTAAATTTATATCTATATACAAAATATTAATTTCCTGATACTTAACTACATGACCCATTAATTATTATTCATTCTTTCATGGACTAATTGTTTATTATACTAAATATACAAGTTGAAAGAATTGTTTCTATTACATAACTGTTTTCTTTATAGTGAGATCTAATAGTTTACTTACCA